TTTTCTCTAAATGAAGAAAGAAAGACCACTGAAGCCATATGGTCCTGAACTTCTGTTTCTTGGGAAGTTTTTGATTACTGATTCAATCTCTTTACTAGTACTTGGTCTGTTCAGATTTCCTATTTATTTTATGATTTAGTGTGGGTAGGTTGTATGTTTCTAGGAATTTATCCATTTCTTCAAATTGTCCAGTTTGGTGGTGTATAATTGTTCATAGTCTCTTATGATCTGCTGTAATAGGTGTAATACCTCCTTTCATTTCTGATTTTATTTACGGCTCTTTTCTTCACTGAATCTAGCTGAAAATTACTATTTTTTCAGAAAACCAGCTTTTAGTCCTTCTACTAAATTTGGGCTTTATTTTTTCTTTTTCTAGGTCCTTGAGGTGTAAAGTTAGGTTGTTTATTTGAGATCTTTGTTGTTTTATCATGTAGGCATTTATCACTATGTACTTCCCTCTTACAACTGATGTTATTGCATCCCGCAAGTTATGGTATGTTTTATTTCTTGATTTTCTCTTTTGACCATTTGTTGTTCAGGAGCATGTTTAATCTCCACATATTTTTGAATTTTCCAGTTTTATTCTATAATTGATTTCTACTTTTATACCATTGTGGTCAGAAAAGCTGCTTGATAAGATCTCAGCGTTCTAATTTATTAAGACTTGTTTTGGAACCGAACATATTCTCTCTCCTGGAGAATGTTTCCTGTGCGTATGAGAAGAATCTGTGTTCTGTTGCTTTTAGATTGAATGTTCTGTAAATGTGAAGTCTATCTGGTCTAACATGTAGTTGAAGTCCAGTGTTTCCTTATTTTTCTGTCTGTATGATCTATTTATTATTGATGGGGGATACTGAAGTCCCCTACTATTATTGTATTGCTGTCTATTTCTCCCTTTAGGTCTGTTAATATTTGCTTTATATATCTAGATGCTCCTATGTTGAGTGCATAAGTATTTACAAATGTTATATCCTCTTGATGAATTGATCCCTTTATCATTATATTAATGACCTTTGTTTCTTATTATAGTTTGTCTTATAGTATAAGTACAGCTACCCCAGCTTGCTTTTGGTTTCCATCTGCATGGAATATCGTTTTCCATTCCTTTACTTTCAGTCTCTGTGTGTCCTTAGAGCTGAAGTGAGTCTCTTTTAGGCAGCATATAGATGGGTCATATTTTATATCCATTCAGCTATTCTGTCTTTATTTATTTACTTATTTATTTATTTTTGACTGCGTTGGGTTTTCGTTGTTGCACGCGGGCTTTTTCTAGCTGCAGCGAGCAGGGGCTACTCTTAGTTGTGGTGCATGGGCTTCTCATTGCGGTGGCTTCTCTTGTTGTGGAGCACGGGCTCTAGGCGTGCGGGCTTCAGTAGTTGTGGCACGCAAGCTTCCGTAGTTGCGGCACATGGTCTTAGTTGCTCTGCGGCGTGTGGGATCTTCCTGGACCAGGGCTCGAACCCGTGTCCCCTGCATTGGCAGGCAGATTCTTAATCACTGTGCCACCAGGGAAGTCCTGCCACTCTGTCTTTTGATTGGAGATAGTCCATTTACATTTAATGTAATTACTTATAGGTATGTACTTATTACCATTTTGTTAATTTCTTTCTGGTTGTTATGTAGTTTTTCTGTTCCTTTCTCTTCTCTTGCTCTTTGTTGTTTGATGATTTTCTGTAGTGGTAGAGTCCTTTCTCTTTATATTTTGTTTATCTACTATAGGTTTTTGCTTTGTAGTTACCATGAGGTTTATGTAAAACAACTTGCAACAGTCCATTTTAAGTTAATAACTTATTTTCCAATGCTTTTGATGTCACAAATACATCTTTTTATCTTGTGTATCCACTAACAAATTATATAGTCATTTTTCTACTTTTATCTATTAACCTTCATACTGGCTTTACAAGTGATTAACCCACTGCCTTTATGACATTAGATTATTCTGAATTTTACTATATATTTACCTTTACCAGTGAGATGCCTACTTTGTAATGTTTTCTTGTTACTAATTAGCACCTTCTCTATTCAGCTTGAATAACTCCCTTTAACATTTCTTGTAAGGCTGGTCTAGTGGTGATGAAATTCTTTTGCTTTGGCTTGTCTAGAAAATTCTTTCTCTCTCCTTCAGTTCTGAAGGACAGTTTTCCAGGGTAGAGTATTCTCAGTTGGCAGTTTTTTTTTCTTTCAGCTCTTTATATCTGTGTATCACGCCACTCCCTCTGACCTGCAAAGTTTCTGCTGAAAAACCTGCTGATAGTCTTGTAGGTTCCCCTTGTACATAAGTTATTTTTCTCTTGTTGCTTTTAAGATTCTCTCCTTGTCTTTAACTGTTGATACTTGAATTACAATGTATCTTGGTGTGGGTCTCTTTGGGTTGATCTTATTTAATACTCTCTGGGTTTCCTGGATCTGGATCTAGGTTAGAGAAGTTTTCAGCCATTATGTCTTCAATTAAGTTTTCTGCCCCTTTCTCTCGTCCTCTTTAGGGACCCCTTTTGCTTGATGTTGTCTCGTTAGGCTGTCTTCACTCTTCTTCATTCTCTTTTCTTTTTGCTGTTCTGATTGGATGAGTTCCACTGCCCTGTCTTTGAGTTCAGTGATCCTTTTTTTCTGTTTCATCCGGTCTGCTGTTGAACACCTCTACTGTATTTTCCAGTTCAGTTATTCTTCAGCTCTGTCACTTCTATTTGGTACTTTCTTATATTTTTGATCTCTGTTGAAATTCTCATTTTATGCATGCATTTTCCTCCTGAGCTCTGTGAGCATCTTTATCACCATTCTTTTGAGCTCTTTATTACTCATCTCCATTTCATTAAGGTCTTTTTCTGAGGTTTGATCTTATTCTTTCCTTTGGAAATATTCCTCTGCTTCTTCATTTTTCCTTGACAGTCTATGGCTTATATGCGTTAGATGAAACAACTACCTCTCCCAGTCTTGAAGGGAGTGGCTTTGTGTAGAAGATGAACCTTATCGTTCAACTCTGCCCTAGCTCTTGGCTATCTCTCAAACCTTTGTGATTGATTGTCCAAGAAGCCTACTTTATTCTCAGTGGCTTGCAGTAGTTGAGGATGTGCCAAGACCTGTCAGGGGAGGATTTCAGTCAGCACCTAGATTCAGGCTGATTGGAAGCCAAGCCCTCATGTAGAAGCTTTTACAGGTTGCAAATATCTCTTTTAGGGGAAGACGGGGAGATGGGCATTTCTGTCTGCTCCCTCTGCTTGAAACCTGTGGTAACAGCCAGTTAAGAACTATTTCTTTGTTTGCTACCATGCTGATGAACCCATGAACACAAGCCCCGCTGGCCACCAGAGCCACGGTATCAAGGGATGTGTTCTCTGGGTGACAGACACAAAAGCTAGGGCGTCAGACGTGCACACAAGCCCCTTTCTTGGAGGCGTCACAGCCTAGGGTGGAGCAGAGGGAAAGCATGACAGTGGCTCCCGAAGGCCAGTCTTTTTTATAACATCTTTATTGTGGTATAATTGCTTTACAATGGTGTGTTAGTTTCTGCTTTGTAACAAAGTGAATCAGTTATACATATACATATATCCCCGTATCTCTTCCCTCTTGCGTCTCCCACCCTCCCACCCACCCTATCCCACCCCTCCAGGCGGTCACAAAGCACCGAGCCGATATCCCTGTGCTATGCGGCTGCTTCCCACTAGCTATCTACCTTACGTTTGGTAGTGTATATATGTCCATGCCTCTCTCTCGCCCTGTCACAGCTCACCCTTTCCCCTCCCCATATCCTCAAGTCCGTTCTCTAGTAGGTCTGTGTCTTTATTCCTGTCTTACCCCTAGGTTCTTCATGACATTTTTTTTTCTTAAATTCCATATATATGTGTTAGCATACGGTATTTGTCTCTCTCTTTCTGACTTACTTCACTCTGTATGACAGACTCTAGGTCCATCCACCTCATTACAGATAGCTCAGTTTCGTTTCTTTTTATGGCTGAGTAATATTCCATTGTATATATGTGCCACATCATCTTTATCCATTCATCCGATGATGGGCACTTAGGTTGTTTCCATCTCTGGGCTATTGTAAATAGAGCTGCAATGAACATTTTGGTACATGACTTCCAGCAATCCCACTACTGGGCATATACCCTGAGAAAACCATAATTCAAAAAGAGGCCATAGTCTTCGTCGAGTATTTCAGTTGGCCTTTAGTTGTGTGTTCAATGAGAAGCCTGCCCCTCAGGCCAAAGCTTTCAGGTAAGCGAATCGGGTGCTTTTCAGTCGGCTGCCTCTGCACTGGGCCTTCGTGCTGGGTAGCCAGGTGAGTCTTTGTGAGCCCTTTAAGAACTGTTCTCAGTTCACTCATAGCCTGTGGGTCTCAGGGAGGCAAGCCCTGGTGGCTTTGAAACCCGGAAGTTTCGGGGGCTCGTCTCTCAGGTGCAGGTCTTAAAAGTTGGGGTGCCAGATGTGGGGTTCAACCCCTTTGCTCCTCGGGGATAAGCTCAGTTGTCAGTTCCCTGTTGACTGCAGGCTGCTGCACCGGGTTTACGATGAGATTGTCTCAGCCTCTCCTACCTGCTTCAATGTGCGTTTTTTTTCTCGGTTGCCTGGTAGGTAGGGGTCACTCGTAGTTTTGGGGTTTCTTTCAGGGGAAGATGTTCTGTATGTAGCTGTAGATTCGGTGTGTCCATGGTGGGAGGTGAGCTCAGAATCCTCTTATGTCACCATCTTGAACTGGAACCGGATTTCTTGTCTTTTTGATGACAGGTGTGAGTGACACCTCATTGTGCGTTTTGTTTGTTTTTTCAGTCAAGGCTTTATTGGGGCCCCTGCTGCAGCAGGGGGGAGTGAGAACAAACAACAGGTTCCCTTGTTTGCCCACGCCCTGAGAGGGGGCGAGCTTTGTTCCTTATATGGGGTGAGGGCAGGGGTGTGTCCAGGGGTTGGGCCGAAGGGGTAGCTTAGGTGTTTTGCCCACCCCTTAGGTGGTGTTGTGTGCCGGGGGCATGCGCAGTGCCCTGCTTTTGCTCCGGACCCCCTGCTTTTGCTCCAGGCTCCTCAAAATGGCAGCTGGGTTTTTTTGGTCTCTTTGTATCTTTTGTCTAGAATTTGCCCCAACTGAGCATGCACACAGTAATTTTCAGTCCCATACAGTTTCTTTTAATTTGTTGCTTGAGGAGAGGTGTGTCCAGGTGCAAGCACTGCAGCCCTGCAGCACAGGCTCCCAGGTTCCAGCCTGTCTCCTTCCCCCCTGAGAGACTCTACACATTTATTAAGGGGTAAGAGGCTGAAGGTCTCTTCTTCTGAAAGACCCCAGCCTCCCCTAGAGGAGAAGGACCTGACTGTTCCAAGGACCTGTAGGGACCTGGGCCACTTTCCGCTGGAATGGGCTGAATTTCTTGAGCCATCATGAGCCTTACTTCAAACTGTTGGAGCCTAAAAGACACAAACTTAACCAAAAGGTTAAACAAAACAAAGGCTAAAAAGGAGAAGAACAACCATTGCCATTAAAGCACCTAGAAAGGGAAGGAACCAGGTTAACTTTGGGCTTCCTTGACCACCAGACAAGGAAGGCGATATCACCCCTGCCACAATTATGAAGCCACTCTGCCTGAGCTTATATTTCCTTAACATTAACTTTTACCTGTCCTGTTGCACGGATCCAAGCGCAGCGGGAAGTATTAGTTACTGCACAAACTCTGCCTTGCTCTGCCAGAAGGTACTCAAGGGCCAGACGATTGTCAAGACCACATCAGCCAAGGAATCGAGAGGTCCCAAGTCCCATTAAGGCCTGAAATAGGAGCCAACCCACTACATCATTGTACTTACCTGTTGATGGGACCTGTCTTTGGAATAGGCATCTCAGATCTTCCGCTAGCTCACAGGTGCATTGTTCTTCTGTTGTGACCCGTGGGGTTTCTGGAAGTAAAAGCTTTAGTCTGGACAGATGAACCCAACAGATACCCCTTGCAGTTTGACAGCAGTGGGGGTGGTTAAAATTACTTTACAGTAATAGTTGGCAATAGTTGGTCTTTGGGGGAGCTCTCTTTCCAGATGTTGAGAAGAACTTGGGTCCCCAGGGTTTATTTGTGAAGGAACTGCTCCTTCCTCTGTATTTTTAGTGGGAGCTGGCAGTGCCTTGTAGGCATAGTCCTGGATTGCTTTCTGAACTTGTCCTAGAATAATATATCTCAGGGTCTGGTTCACTTCCTCATCCAGTAGAATGTCAGTAGTAAGAAAAGGCCTCCCGTAGGTCATTTCAAGGGGACTAAGTTTCAGACCACTCCTGGGGGCTACACGGACCCTGAGGAGTGCAATGAGAGGCAGGTTGGTCCAGGGTGCATGAGTCTATGGGCAGAGCTTTGCTAAGGTTTTCTTTAAAGGATGGTTCATTTTCTCTACCTTCCCTGAAGACTGGGGGTGCCAAGAGGTGTGTAGCTTGTAGTCTAGCCCTAGGGCTGTTGTGAGCCCCTCTGTGATTTTGGCTATAAAAAGAGGGCCCGTTATTGCTCTGCAGGGACTTTGGAAGTCCAAACCGACGAATTATTTCTTTTAAAAGGGACTTACAGACTTGCAGGGCGTTTTCAGATTGGGTGGGGAAGCCTTTAACCCATCCTGTAAAAGTATCAACAAACACCATAAGATATTTTAAGATATTTATATCCTGATCATGGGGGCATTTGGGTGAAATCTAACTGCCAGGCTTCCCCCGGGTATGTCCCTCGGCGTTGAATTGGCCTGAGTAACGAAGGGGGGATTGGATGGGCCTGTGGGTTATTACAGGCGAGGCAAGCCTTCCTTGTTTTATTGTTCTTTCAAGCCCCTTTCCTGAAAAAGCCTTTTGCCTCAAGTCCCATAGTGCATCCCTCCCTTAGTGGGTGGCGTCATGTAAGCTCTTGGTGAGTCTCCATTGTTGGGCTTCAGGGATTAGAAACATCCTCCTTTTGATGCCAGCCTGTGCTTCCCTTCTCAGAGCTCCATTTCTCAGCATTTTCTTATTCCTGGGGGGAGAACTGGGGAAGGCTAGGAGTTCAGGGGGGGCCAATCACTAGAGCCTTACCTTGTTCAGGTTCCTGCAGTTGTGCACCCTGTTTTGCAATTTGATCAGCTTTGCTGTTCCCTTGGCTCGCAAAAGATCACAAAAGATCCATCCCTCTGATGGCCCCTGCAGTGCATTACTGCTACCTGGGTAGGAAGCTACACTGCTTCTAACAAACGGACCAGAATCAGATCTTTATGTTTTATGGGGAACTTCTAGTGGTTAACATTCCTCTTTCTTTCCATCTGGCAACATGAGCATGTAGCACGTGTGGACCCATATTTAGAGTCAGTGAAAATATTTAATTTCTTATCCTTCCCTAATTGCAAAGCTCTCATTAATGCTCGTAAGTCTTGCACAAACCAACACTCCCCGTTAGGCTTCTGTACGGGGAGGTTCGGGGTGCTGCAAGGGGATTGGCAGGGCCTAATGAGTCCGTGTTTTCAGGAATCTGCTGAGCAGCGGTTGGATTCCCCTCAGGGCCTCAGGCTTTAAAGGATATTGTCTCTTCCAGGGGTATTTTTCCCCAGGCCTTAACCTTATTTTTATTGGGGGAACGCGTTTTGCCCTTCCTGGCACCGAGGTATCCCAAACTGCAGGATCTACCTGCTCTGTAATTTCTTGGGGGATGTCTTGGGGCATATTTTGATGCCCAACAGGTGGGTCATCTGGGACTAATAGATGCATTCTCCGTGCAGATTACCTTCTTGGATTCACCCTGACCTAAGAATATACTAGCTCCTAACTTATTTAGCAAATCTCTCCCGAGGAAAGGGACAGGGCATTCTGTCATGTACAAAAAGGAGTGAATAATAATAATGGACCCGATTCCACAGGCAAGAGGGGATGGTAAATCGCCTTTCCTTTGGCTGTCCATCGACTCCCATCACAGCACAGTCATGGCTGGAGAGGGGGCCAGCTGGCCAAGTCAGAGCAGAGCAGGCGGCTCCACCGTCTACAAGAGTTCTCCTACCTGCCACATCGAGCGTGACCCGAGGCTCCGCTGCAGTCACGAGGATGGATCTGGAGCCGGGGAGGCGCTCGGGCGTCCCACAGGAGGGCGCCCAGGACATTCCGCCTCCCAGTGCCCCCTTTCCGACAAAGGCCACACTGGTTTGGGTCCAAGGGGCTTCTTGGTGGTCTGTCCAGCCTTCTCGGCCCTCCAGGGTCCCCTCGAGGTGGTGGATGGATCAGAGCGGCCAGATGCTGCGTTTTCTTTATTTGCCTCTTATCCTCATTGGCCTCCTCTGTTAAGTCTCGGTTGTTACAGACCTTGAAGGCCTCCTCAGGGTTGACAGCGGGGCTTGGGGCCCAGCCGCAAGCTTCTGGAACTGTCTCCAGATATCAGGAGTAGCCTTGGTGATAAAATTCATGGCCCAGAGTGTCCTCCCTTCTGCGGACTCAGGGTCTGTATTGGTGTCCTTCCTGAATGCCTCTGTCACCCGGCTCAGGAAGCCTGCTGGGCTTTCATCTTTTTCCTGTGTAACCTCTCAGACCTTATCGTAATTTACTGGCTTCACCATACACCTTTTCATTCTTTCTGACAGACAAGTAATCTAATGTCTCATCCTAGCTTGGCCTACACAATCTTCACAGTCCAGCATGGGTCATGTTCTGGGATTGCGTCCCACCTACCTGATAAACTTGGCCATGTGGACTGGTGGCCAGTAGGCCATCTGCGTGTTCCCTGGGCTTTCTCAGTATGCGCTCCTTTTCATCTGGGGTACAACAGTGGGCCAGAATAATCCATGATGTCCTGCCAGGTGAGAGAGAATGTCAATCCCAGCCTGATAAATTCATCCCTAAACTTGTCAGGGTTCTCTGAGAACCTGCCTTATGGGTTTCCTAAGTCTCCCATTGAGAAGGGGCTGTGCACTCTAATAACCCCTCTGTTGCCATCGCTACTTCCCGAAGGGGGGAAAGGTGGGGGCTGACTTTGAACCTGATCCCGGGAAAACTTTGTTTTTTCACGAGAGAGAGAAACCAAGCCCAGTCTTGCATCAACCTACTCTTAATAAAATCCATTTACCTAATTAAATTTAATCCAACGTTAGAAAATCCTGACCAAAGTTCCTAATGTTCCTCTTCCACAAACCTGCAACTTTCTGTAGCCATACTTTGTCCCTTATTCTTTCCCCATTCAGAAACAGCCAGCTCTAGGACAAAGTCATCCTTTTTCCTTTCAACAAAATATATTCCCGTTCCTTTTACCTTCTTTTCTTAACGCATCCTACTTTCCTTAAGCCACCATGAACTGTCTTTCACGTTAGCATTCCATAAATTGGTAGCGAACATCTCAAGGTGGCACCAAACAGCTTAATTTCTCTCTCACAAGAAGACAAAAGTAGGTAAATTTAGACCTGTTTAGCAATTAATGTTCCAATAGTTTATCTTATTTGAAATGGCCTGCAGATACAATTAATTCCTATCTTAATTACTTTAGCTTCTTAGATGGACGTTTCCAAAACATAATTATTCCTATGTAGCTTAGCAAAAAGTTCTTATCCCAGTTACATTTACTTAAAAATTTAATCATATCAGGTTATTGTCCCTGTTGACAGATTTTTACAACAGGAACAATATGCACTTATTGACTTCCAGTAACCCTAGATACAATGAAAGCATTGTACTTTATGTTGATGACTCCAAAGATGGGTCTGTATTAATTAAACCCATAGCTTAAGCTAGACAAGTTAATTTCTGTAGAAGCAGAGATCTCATAGTTTTCCTGCTTGAATTTAAAATGGCCTTTTTTCCCCCCCTCAGTCTGGGGGACTACAGATGAATCAGGTAGTTCCTGAGAGCCCAGGCAGAAGAGTTACATTGCAAAGGCAGAGGAGAGAGATGCAAGCCCCCGTCTTTTCTTTTTGTTCTTTGAAATCCCACTAAGTAACCCAAGGCTGGAGTCTCAGGCAATGCGGGCTGTGTTTGTATGTGCTCACAATGTCGGCAGTGACTTCCAGGGACAGCTGGACAGACAAAAACTACATCACAAAGAAAGCAATCGCAAAACTTAAAGACACAAACAAGAAGTTTTCAGGATTAAGGGGATGGGAGGGTAGGGGTAAGGACCAAGGGAGAAGTAAAGGGAGGAGGGACAGAAAAGACTGAAAATGAGAAAGAGACAGAGAGATTGCCTTTTCAGCCCGCCCCCTGCAGCTGTCTATTCAGGTACCAATCTGCATGCTTCCAGAAAGGGCCAGTGAAGGAGGGAGCACCCTGTCCACTGCCCATCGGGGTGATCAAGCCCGGAAACCAGCCAGTTGCATGTCATCTGTGGGTCCCCGACCCACAGGTGGGACTCTCACCCACGCATGCACCAGTATATAGAAATCTGCCGCTTCAGCTCGTTCCCAACGGGACTTCTCTTGGCGGCAGGAAAATAAAGGTGAGAATATGGGGATGATCGGACTTACAGCCCACTACACGATATGAGGTTTGAACCTCTATCACTCATAAATCTCCAGTCAGGGAGAGCCCGCTGGACCAAGGTCTGCAAGGTGTGAAGGGAGCCTCTCCCTCCTCTGCTTGTCGCCCCTCACGGTGAGCCATTGCCGGCCAGAGGGAGCTGTAGCTTGCCCGACATCCACTCTCTTGGAAGGACAGAAGGAGGAGAGGACAGAGAGAGAAGTAGAGAGATTTCAGGAGAGGGAAAATGGGGAGGGACAAAGGGGAGGGGAGAAGCATTGCCTGAATGAGGGTACTGAGGCCCCTCGGGGGCCAGAAAGGCAGACTTACCAGACGAGGCGATGCTGAAACAAGAGGTTCAGGTGGCCACTTGTCACCCGCGGGGAAGCTGCGTTAGGTGGTCCCGGAGGTGCCCAGATCCTCTCCTGCAGAAGGGACAAGCCCCACGTTGGGCACCACAAAATCTGTTACCAACTAGGGTTCTTGGCCTCCTTAATCAATAGAAATTGATCAGAGGCCAAGTTCAGTCAGGGCTTTATTGGGACCCCTGCTGCAGCAGAGCAGGGGTGGGGGGCAGTGAGAACAAACAACAGGTTCCTTTGCTTGCCTGCTCCTCACTGTGGTTTTGATTTGTATTTTCCTGATGATTGGTGATGTCTAGCACCTTCTCATATACTCGTTGGCCATTTGTATATCTCCTTTGAGAAATACCTGTTGAGGTTCTTTGCCTGAGAGGGGCTGGAGGAAGTTCGCGGACCACTGAAGGGTCCACAGCCGGGACTGATGTTCGTCTTTTTTTCTTATGCTTTAAAATGAACAATCATTTAATGTATTAACATTTTCACTTATAAACATACAATTTGCATATACAGGGAAAAACAGGTTCTGTGGACACAATAGAATACTAGAGACAGGCAGCAATCAGAAGGACAGGCATGCACAGATGCCATGCGTGGGCAAGACTCCTCCTGGGTCCCTTGGTGGATCCCACAGTTCTCTTAAAGTCACTTTTGTTCATGATGCCATTTTTGTTGGGGGCGGGAAGAGGGATGTCTCATATGGCCATGATGCTAATGTCATTCCTCAACCTTCTTATAGTTGTTTTGTGTGTGTGTGTGTGTGTGTGTATAAATAAAATACAATTATTATATATAATATATAAATATACATTTGCACATATGGGAGTGTTTCTATCAGAATGACTAGATCAAAGGGTATATGCAATTTTCATTTTGACACAGATTGTTCTTTATAGAAGTTTACACTCTACCCGCAGTATATGAGAATGCCTACAAGAGAATGCCTATTTCCCCAAATGCTGATTCTGATTCTACCAAAGGGTAAAATCAAAATTTCATTTTGTTAAAAGAAAAGCCATCCATTGTGGATCTAGTTTGCATTTCTCTTATTAAGTTTTTCATACAAGAGATTAAGAGATACTTGTATGTTACCTTCCTGTAGACTATTCATATTCTCTGTGCATCTTTCTGTTTCGGGTTTTGTTCTCTTCTTGGGTCACCAGAGCTCTGTCCTTGCTAGAGTGACATATTTAGAATATCTTTTTTTTCTGTAAGAAATCAAGGGGGCTTAGGTAAGAAACAAAAACTCAGTTTTTCAAAAGAGACACTCACTTCCAGCCCATCCCACGATGACTAGAAATGTTTCCAGAATGAGGGTATTTGCACCTCAGCACAGGCAAAGCCCTTTCGTGGAAATACGCTGAAGGCCCTCTGTGGATCCAGTTTCGCTTCCAAGTGGGTGGTCCTCAAGCTTGGGCTTTACTGTAAAATGTTCTAGAGTCAGATTAGAATTGAACAGGCGAAACTGCTGAATGAGAGCAAAAAGGGAAGAGTGACCTGATCCAACAGGGACTCAACAGGATGCAAATCGGTAGGCACGTAAGAAGACAAAACCATGGAGTATCTTTTGAAAACAAAATTATCTAGGGTACCCAAACACAGAAAGCAAAAGAGGGGTGTTCTGCATTTGGGGTCCACAGGGTGAAAACAAGAAGGGGGCATGAGGACTGTCCTTATCCCGGGTTGGGGCCATTGGTGACATCGGGGTCTGTGTTGCCGGGCTGGCAGCACCAGGAAGCTTACCTGGGGAGGTTTTCTGAAACTCACCTGCGTCTCCTGGTGTTTCCTCCCCAGCTTATGTGTTCCTCGGTGCAGAAGGCCCTGTTTGAGGAGGAGGACCACGTCAAGAAGCTGCAGCAGAAGGTGGCCACCCTAGAGAAGCGGAACAAGCAGCTGCGGGACCGGGTGAAGAAGGTCAAGAGGTCCCTGCGGCAGGCGCGGAAGAATGGCCGCCACCTGGAGCTGCTGAACCAGAAGCTGAGCGAGAAGCTGGCGGCCGCGGCCGGCGCGCTCCCGCACATCAACGCGCTGGGCCGCGAGCCCGCGGGTGCCGCCTACCTGCGGGGGTAGCAGGGATGGAGCCTTGGCCTCACCCGGTACCCGCTGAGGCCTCTCACGGGGAGTGGAAAAGGACACTGGGTTTAGACGTGCACATCTTGTAGATGATATTTTTACTGTGCATTTGGTAGCGTCTAGTTGGTTTACAGGGCAAGTCTCCTATCTCCTTGGCTGCCGGCCTCCTGCCCTTCCCTTGTCCCAGACCCAGTGCTCTGATGCCAGCAGTGCCCTATGCTTGCCTGGGGCCTGTCCCTGGCTTCCAGGAGCAGCTTGGAAAAAGTGCACTTATTAGGGAAAGAACATTTTAGAATCTCTAGAGGTACAGAACTCAAGGGGTTCAGCCTCCATTTCTGAAGGAAGGGAGTGTGGTCCCAGCTCTCAGCAGCAGGACAACCGTTGGTTTGAAGGAATGATAGGTCGTGGAATCTTCTGGTGTCATTAAGCTTACGGAGCTCATCACAAGTCAGGGAGTGGAGCTAGAGGTGGCAGGTAATTAAGAAGAATTATACCTGATTTCCAACCTTAGCTATCCAGAGTTACAGAGGTTTCCCATGGGCCACTTTAAAGGGGAATTGCCTTTATGGTCCTGTCCTGTTTCATGAAAGCACATTTCTAAGTTGGAGGAGCTCGAACAGTATCTCAGCCCCTACTAAATTCTGACTTACTGTTTGCTCAGTGATTACTTCCAACTTCTCTGAATTCAAGGTGAGCTGACCCAGTATGTTGTGAATTTCTGTTGTGCAAAGACACCTCCTTACCTACTGGGGTCTGGGGACCTTGCCTCGTTGCTCTGCTCCCAAAAGGGCTTGTTGAGGGCATTCCGATCTTGGCTTCTTTATGCAAATGCTTTGCACCCACCTGGACTGTCCAGACAGACCCTGGGAGTAGTGTTTGCACATCAGCCCGCTTCTCACTGCATTAGAACCTCTGTACGATCGCTTCACCTTCTTTGGGAAGAAACCTCTAGAGAGAGTATTGCAAGTAAAAGATATTCACAATACCTACCACCTGAGCCCTTCACTTAGCCACATGTGATCGCGTCCCAGCTGTGTGACTAAGAAGCGCCCATCCCTTGGTTAGCTTCTGATGATGGTTCTCCAAACCAACCAGTGTCCCTTCCCCGCTGTTTTAGGTAGAAGCTGCCCCTTTACCACCCCAGATACAGGAGGGCCCGACAATGCCGTCCTCTCCATTGAAAATGGCAGTTAGGGTCAGATTTCTATCCCCTGCCTTTAGAAAAACCATGTCCTTCTTGCTCTGGCAGCGCGCCTGGGGCATGAGCCTTGTGACACTTGGGTCTTGATGGTAGGCGATGGCCTCAGAGGAGAAGCCAACGCCCTGGACTGCACAGCATGGGGACTTTTGCTCAAGGGCTCTTTACCGCTAAGCTTCTGCCAGCACTTTATCAGCTGTAATCTGCATGGTCTGGTACAATAGAAGGCACGTCTTGTGGTTTATTCTTCCCAGGGACGTTTCATTACAGCAGTTTTGCTGCCACCCAAGGGAATGACAAGCCTAACGGTGATTTACAGCCAGCGTTTGGAGAACTGTGGAAGCTGGATCTCTTCGGATGCATTTTGTTCTGCCTTTTCAATAAACGTGAGCCAATAGTTCAGCCACAGCAGTAGAGCAATGCGTGTATCTTTTGGAGCAGGGGGCCTGCAGGATTTCCAGCTTTGGCCTGAAAAGGCCATTTAGATCCTCTGGGGGAAGCATCTGTGGGTCACACCTGAGGCATTTAGGAGACTGAGCTGAAGCCGCTCTGCTTTCCCCGCTGGGATGAGGCTAACCCTGTCTCTCCCCAGGTTCCCATCTCTCAACACACCTGCAGACAAGCAGTGTTATCCTGACCTCACCTCACGAGGGACACGCAGCTTCATTAATCAGTGTCTTCAAAGGTACATTAGGATCTGTGCCAACAGGAACTCCCAGGTCCCCATTATCTGCTACGTCGTCATCTTGCGGCAGCCCTCGCCACCCGCTCGTTGTACTAGTAGGAGTTGTTCATGCAAGAAAAACCCAAGAATTGCTCAGAACTTGACACACATTGGCCGACCTGTCGTAGCACTATCTCTGAGCTGTGGGCCATGGTTTAGTTCCACTCAGCGGTTCAAGGAGGCTAAGTGACTTTGCCAAAGTCACATAATAAGCAAGAGGCTGACAGAATCTAGCATCTTTAAACCAGAGTCCCCAGGAGTTACAAACTGGTGGCATGTGGGCCACACCTCACGTGGGGATGAGGTTTCTGTGTTTGAATGTCAACCTTCACTGGACTACGGTTCAGGCCGCTGTCTCTGCTACTATCGCACCCACCCCCGTTTGGGTTTTTTTGTTTTTTTAGTTTCTTTTTTAACACACATCACGCATTTGCGGTACCTGCCTGGCAGCAGAAGTTAACAGGGATTCCCGCTTCTGTGGTGCAAATCCTCACCTTCCTTTGGGGAGAGAGAACCAAAATCCAATCACAAGGACTATGGATCCGCTGTTGGCTCAGCAACGTCCACATTCTATGATCGTTAAAAAAAGAACAAAACTAAGTACACAGAATGCTTTAGGCTCTCGCACACACATCTCACTTAATAGTCCTAACAATTTCATAATAGTGATTCTGATCGCCATTTTCCAAGAGGAATCTGGGGCTTCAACAGATTAACCTGCCCCGTGTACACAACTAGGACAGGTGGCCAGTCAGACCTCCAACCCTATCTTCTTTTCTCTTTGCACGAGCTCACCTGTAGAATGCGGATAATCACTCCTACTGTAAAGGCTGTGAGGAGGCGCTTAGCATGATACCTGACACCCCACACGTACTCAATAATATTACTCACAATCATCATCTATATTATAGTGATAAATACTCACCAGAAAGGCCCAATGCATGTCAGAAATAAGAGTGTCTGGTGGGATTCCATGTCATTTTCCCGTCCAATACTCCAGCTCCTTTCCATTTTCCTTATTTCTGAACTACCTCCTTTTCTTTCACATTCAGTAGTGGGTTGTTCCTGCAAATTTACCAAGAAAATATAGTCCATCAGAAATGTGTTTGCTCACCTTCTTAGGGTCGAATTAAAGAATGCACAGCCTAGGGCTTCCCGGGTGGCGCAGTGGTTAAGAGTCCGCCTGCCGATGCACGGGACGCGGGTTCGTGCCCCGGTCCAGGAAGATCCCACATGCCGCTGAGCGGCTGGGCCCGTGAGCCATGGCCGCTGAGCCTGCACGTCCAGAGCCTGTGCTCCGCGATGGAAGAGACAACAGTGAGAGGCCCGCGTACCGCAAAAAAAAAAAAGCTAAAGGTTGAGCATTGCATTTTACTCGGTCGACATACTGAGGACTTCAGCCCGGGAGGTGCCTCTCAGGTCGCTCTGAAGAGGTAAGCGAGGAGCCAGGGCACGCGGGAGCTTTTGCAGAAACAAAGCAAAACACAACCACATAAAACACTGAAAGATGGCGGTCAATTAAAGAAAAAAAAAAGACATCGCAAGTTCACAAATTTTCTACATATGGGAAGATGCGAGAGTCTGGGCTTATTGAAGTCATTCCTTTGATATGCACCTTAACTAGCTAGGGCCAGTGTCCTGTTTTTCTCCATCCTGAATCCCCTCAGGGTGCACAGTCAGCGCCGCTGCAGTGGCTGCTAGCTTGGTGGCCGCAACATCCTTTGTTTACTGATATGGCAGAGGACATTCTTCATCCATACTAGCTTGTCACTCACACTGTCTAGTTTGTCCCCCTTCTCTCCTCCCTTCCAACTCGAAGGCTCATCCCTCTGGGCCACATCCAGGGTCAAACCCCTGCCCTGTTATCCTGAGTTCATATCGCTCCTCTCAAAACCTGGCTCCACCAATGTTCCCTCTTTTATCATAAATCTTTTCTTCGTTGGGGAATCCTGCCCTTATCCTCCAGCCATGCTCAGATTTATCCATCCCAGGAAAAAACAAAACAGTTTAGAAAGTATTGAAGCTGTGTTTAAAGATGGTGACACAGAAGGCTCCTGGACGCCCCCTCCTCCAACGGACACACCTAGTGAACAGCTACACAAAAGCAACTCCCTCTGAAAGAAACTCAAACTGGCTAAGGACCTCTTATACAATGAGGGACCAAGAAAACACCTACGTCTTTCCTATGTATGAGTAAGAAAGGCTGAGACATGCTGTTGCCATAAACCCCAGCCCTGGCACAGACTGTACAGTTTGTGGAAGGAAATCCCCGAATGCTAGCTTCTCCTTGAGGGGTGAAGGGTTTGGACCCCACATCTACATCCCCCAGGTTTTAAGACTCCTACCCGAGGGGTGGGCCTCCAAACACCTAGCTCTGAAAGCCAATGGGGTTTGCGTCCATGAGATCCACAGACTATAGCAAAAGAAGAAGCAGTTGTTAAAGGGCACAAGCACTCACTTCAGCCATCACCTCGGGGTCAGTGCAGAGGGAGCAGGGAAAAAACGCTCACCTCCCAGTCTTTCCCTGAATGGGGTCTACTTGGATACTTTAAAAGCTGCTGCCTGGGGGTCAGGCTTCTAATTGAGCCCATATCTAGGGGCTGACTGCCATCCTCCCCAAAGACCAGGGAAGCCAGTGGACACCACCCCTGTCCTCTCTCTCTGACCTGCTCCAAGTTGCCAGAATGTCCCTGAAAGAAACTTGTACACAGTCTGCACCCCAGCCTTGTGGCTGCTGGTAGCTGATGGGTCCCCAGATCACCTGGCTCTGACAGTCACCAGTGCTTCCATTTACAAGTCCCACAGGACTACAGAAAACAGAGGCAGTTTTAAACTGGCCATCGCCCCAGGGATCAGCATAGAAGGAGCAAACAGAAATGCCCAGTCTCCCAGTCTTTCCCTGAAAGGGGTCTCTTTGCATACTTCAAAAGCTTCCGCCTGAGGGTCAGCCTTCTAATGTACTATGCACCTAGGGCCTGATTCCCTGATCCTCTCCGAAGACCAGGGAAGCCCGAAGACACCTCTTCCTCCCTCTTTTTCTAGCCTGCTCCAGGTTGCTAGTTATCTCCCTGGAAGGAACTTGTATACATATCTGTGCCCCAGCTTTTGTGGCTGCCACCTCAGGGGCAGGCACCCAAATTGCTTGGTTCTGATAGCAAACAGGACTTACATTCATGTAGCAAACAAAGAAGTTCTTAAAAGGCTCAAGAGCACACCCTGGCCACAAAGCTATACACCTGGGCCCAGTGCAGAGGGAGTAGGCAAAAACACCCAGCTCCCATTTCTTTCTGGAAGATGCCTATCTACATACTTTCCCAGCTGCTGCCTGAGGGCCCAGCTACCAACCAGCCTTCACATAGGTGCTGTGATCATTTCCTTTGGAACCCTGTCAAGTTGGCACACCTTCAACTACTGGGAGGTACTAGGAACAAAAAAGGTGGCTTGGACAATCACAAAGGTTACAGGAGCATGAGCCAGCCTGATAGATAAGGTTCATCTCCTACACAAGACCACTCTAGCAAGACTGGGAGAGGAGACGGCTTTATCTAATGTGCAAAAACAAACACAGACTTCAACTAACAGACATAAAGATGCTCAGTGTGGTCAGGCGCATCTTTGCTCCATCATCATTTGCATGAACAAAGTGAGAATTTCAACAAAGAGATAGAAAATATTAAAAAGTACCCATCAGATCACAAGGCTGAAGAGTATAATAAGTGAACTGAAAAATTCAATAGAGGGTTTCAACAGCAGACTAGATCAATCATAAAGATCCATAAACTTGAGATAAGGCAGTAGAATTCATCTAATCACAGGAGCAAAAGATAAAAGACTGAAGAGAACTTAAGGGATTTATGGGACACTATCCAACAGACCAATATACACATTTATAGGGGTGCCAGAAGAAGAGAAGGAGAAAGGGCAGAAAGCTAATTCAAAGAAATAATGGCTGAAACTTCCCTAACCTGGAGGAAGAAACAGGCATCGAGATCCAGGAAGCCCAGATTTTCAAAAAGGATGAATACAAAGAGACTCACGCTGAGACACATTATAATTAAACTGTCAAAAGATAAAGACAAGGAGAAAATCTTAAAAGCAGCAAGAGAAAAACAACTTGTTATATACAAGAGAACACACACAAAATTATCAGATTATTTTAGCAGAAACTTTGCAGGCCAGAAGGGACTGGGATATGTATTCAAACTCCTGAAAGAAAAAAATCTACCAACCAAGAATAACCTACCCAGCAAAGTTGTCCTTCAGATTTGAAGGAGAACATATTATATATACAAAACCCTAAAGACTCCACCAGAAAAAGCTCTTAGAACTAATAAACAAATTTAGTAAAGTTGCAGAATGCAAAATCTATATACACAACATCAGAATTGAAGGAGAGAGAGTTTTCCAGACAGGCAAAAACTGAAGGAGTTCAGCACCAGTAGACTAACCCTACAAGAACTGTTAAAAAGACTTCTTTAAGCTGGAAATAAAAGGGCACTAATTAGTAACAGGAAACATATGTAAAAGTATAAATCTTGCTGATAAAGGTAAACATGTAGTCAAATTCAGAATAATCTAATGCAATGGTGGTGGGTTAATCACTTATATAACTAATATAAAGGTTAAAAGGCAAAATAGTAAAAATAGCTATAACTACAATAATTTGTTAATGGATACTAAAGATAAAAAGATGCAAATGTGACATCAAAATCATAAAATGTGCTGGGAGGGGAGAGTAAAAATGTAGAGTTTTAGAATCATTCAAACTTAAGTTGTCATCAGCTTAAAATAAACTGTTATAACTCTTAGATGTTTTATGTAAGCCTCATGGTAATCACAAAGCAAAACCCTACAGAAAACACACAAAAGATAAAGAAATCTAAGCATACCACTCAGAAAAACCATCAAATCACAAGGGAAAAGAACAAGAAAAGAAAGGAACAGAGGAATTACAAAACATCCAGAAAACAATTAACAAAATTTCAATAAGTCCATATCTATTAATAACTACATTAAATGTAAGTGAACTACGTTCTCCAACAAAAAGATATACAGTGGCTGGATGGATTAAAAAACAAAAAACAAACAAACATAGCTTTTCCAAGGATGCAACTTTTGAGAGAGTAAGGCAGGGTTGAGACCATCGGCACTGAATATGCGACTGAAACCGGCCTCTATATAAACTTTTAAGATTCTGGTGGGCAGGTGCAGAGAACTACTCATCTTAACAGCTGCAGGAGACAAGTCTCTTATGTTCACAGGCCAGGAACATGCAAGAATCAAGAGCAAATGTATTTCCACCTGTGTGGCTGACAGGGTCTTGATGCTCTGGCCTGGTGTCAGGCCTGAGCCACTGAGGTGGGAGAGGCAAGGTTAGGACACTGGACCACCAGAAACCTCCCGGCCCCATGTAATATAAATCAGCGAGAGCTCCCCCAGAGAGCTCCGTCTCAATGCTAACACCCAGCTCCACCCAACAGCCAGCAAGCTCCAGTGCTGGACATCGCAGGCCAAACAACTAGTAAGACAGGAACACAACCCCACCCATTAGCAAAGAGACTGCCCAAAATCATATTAAGTTCACAAACACCTCAAAACACACCATCGGACGTGGCCCTGTCCACCAGAGAGACAAGATTCAGCCCCACCAACCAGAACATGGGCACCAGTCCCCTCAACCACTAAGCCTACACAAGCCACTGAACCAACCTCATCCACTGGGGACAGATACCTAAAACAAAAGGAACTATGAACCTGCAGCCTGTAAAAAGGAGACCCCAAACACAGTAAGTTAAACAAAATGAGAAGACAGAGAAATATGCAGCAGATGAAGGAGCAAGGTAAAAACCCACCAGACCAAACAAATGAAGATGAAATAGGCAGTCAACCTGAAAAAGAATTCAGAGTAATGATAGTAAAGATGATCCAAAATTTTGGAAACAGAATGGAGAAAATACAAGAAACATTTAACAAGGGCCTAGAAGAACTAAAGAGCAAACAAACAATGATGAACAACACAATAAATGAAATGAAAAATTCTCTAGAAGGAATCAACAGCAGAATAA